GGACTTAGAGCCAGGTCCAGCGCTGGATGGCGGTCACCAATCCCGGGGCCATCTGGTGTCCATCTGGCTGAATCGAGAGATTGGAGGACGTGGCGGGGGGCTCCCGGGCATCCTGACAGACGGGCTCCCTCTGCAGGACCCTGTGGCGCTAGGTGGCCTGGGAAGGGACCCTGACCTCTTTGGGACTGTGCTCTTGCTGCTTCTGCTGGCCCCTGGGTCAACTGTCCCCTGTGGGGCTCAGTGAAAGGGGCACCACGGGGCGGGGAGGGTGTCCTGTCCCCACGCCCAGCCCCGAGCCGTCTCCTCGTGGCTCTGGATGGGCAGCACCTGGAGTGGCGCACGGGGCTCTGCGGGAGCGTGGCCGGCACAATGGGCCCTTTGCCGGCAGCAAATGTGCCAGCGTCCCTTCCAGGCCCCGCCTCAGGTCCCACTTGGTCCCCAGGCATCCTGCCCAAGCTGTCCCCTCCCAGAGGCCTGTGGGAGCTTTGGTCCGCGGGACACCCTGCCCTGGTCAGCCTCCCGTGGCAGCCGGCTCGCGGCCCACACCAGGCACCTGGGCTCTGCTCCCTCGCAGGCCCACTGAGCCCCCCAGCTCCTTCTCCCCGGCCTCCACCTGGGCCTGGTGCGGGGCTCTCTGCCTACAGAGGAGAGAGCAGGGTGGGGGACAGACGCACAGCTGCACCCCTGCTCCCCGCTGGGCTTTCGGGGGGGGGCAGGGCACAGCTGACCCCTCCCTCCCTTGCAGTCGCTGCTGTTCCTGGGGCTGCTGGCGGCCATCTGCCTGGGCCTGAACCTCGCCTTCCTGGCGGCCTACCTGGTGTGCGCCTGCTGCTGCCGGCCGGACCCCGTGGTGCAGACCAAGCAGCGCGGCTCCTGCTGCGTCACCTGGACGGCGGTGGTGGCCGGCCTCGTGTGCTGGTGAGTGTCCCCTTGCCCTGAGTGACCCTCAGCTGTCCGGCCACCTTCTCCTGACCAAGCTCCTGCTACCTGAGGGAACAAGCTTGTCCCTAAATGAACACCGTCCCTTTTCTGGCCAAGCGTTGGCCATCGGGTGCCCGGGGTGGCAACGGGGCTCCGATTCTCCTGCCCCAGTGCAGGGCTGCCCCTGAGTGGGCCAGGTGGCACTCCTAGACGGGGGCCTCTGCTCTCTGCAGCCCTGTCCCCTCCCACCTGCTGCAGGTCAGGAGAGCCTGGCTCCGGCCCCAGGATCGATAGCTTTCAGTGCCGTGGGCCCTGGGGGAGGGGAGCGCTCTGGCCGCCCGGGCAGCGTCCACACACTGGCGCTCCGGGAGGGGTGGGTTCTTCTGTTTTTGTGTCTATAGTGGCTTTGCCAAAAGCCTAGTGTCCCCAGCCCCAGGTGCTCGTGGGGGGTGGGGACCCTCTGGGGTGGGGTCCCTCACGGCTCCACGGCAGGGCTGGCGCCTGGGAGCAGGGACACCTGGGTTCCAATGTCCAGGTTGCGTTGGAACACATTCTTACCCCAGAGCCCAGAGAGGTAGCCCCCGGGGCGGGAGCATGCGGAAGGGACCCGGCGGCTGGGGCTTAAGTGTCAATTTTTTTTTTCTTTCTTTTTGTACTGGGAGTTTAACCCAGGGGCACTTCACCTCTGAGCACCCCCGACCTTCTTATTTTTTATTAGGAGACGGGGTCTGGTTAAGTTGTTTAGGGCCTCGCCAAGTTGCTGAGGCTGGCCTTGAACTTGTGATCCTCCTGCCTCAGCCTCCCAGGTTGCTGGGATGACGGGTGTGCACCGCGGTTCCCAGCTTAAATGAAACTTGAAGTGTCCCAGCCCAGGTTGGGAGTTCAAAGACCAGTGTCACCTCCCATCAAGAGGGAGAGCTCCTGAGAGGAGACTGGAAGTTCAGATCCTCCTGCTGAGAGCGTGCAGGGGTGGCCAGGGGAGCCGGGACCAGCAGTGCTCTGGATCCTTGTTCCCGGGAACTCGGATTTAAATAAGTAAATAAGTAAACAACCCTGTCCTCCCAGAGTTCTGACGGGGTGTGTCTGTAAACCTAAAGACGCATTGCACACACCTACCCTGCCCACAGCCTGGCCCTCCCGCCCTCCTGGACCAGGCTGGGACAGTGCATTCGCCCCTCGAGGGCAGAGTCCCCGACACAAAGCCCGTTTCACAGTCAGCGCTGCCGCACTGGAGGTGACCGAGTGGCCGTCGGGGTAGGCCTTCGGGTCAGCAGGTGGAAAGTCTGCAGAAGGGGACCGTGTACTTTAGAACAGTCCAGGTGGCTCCGGGGACGGCCACGTCCAACAAGCAGTAGTTGCCTGTGGTTGAAGGAAAACCCAAAGCAGAAGGCGAGTCTGTGGCGGGATTCGTTCACGGCCCTCTTCACATTCATCCCAGGCAGGAGGGGACCTGGGACACAAAAACCAGGCACAGATGTGCCTTCTGATCCTGTGGCTCTGGGTCTATTCAGGGGACACAGAGTCATGCACTTGTCAGATGTGAATAATGACAACTAAAGAGAGTCCTCTGAAGGAAAGGAGCTGGGTGGCCTCTGGAGTTAGGTGGCCCCGGGTAACGTGGGATGAGGGAGGAGGCACTAACTAGGCAAAGGTGGGGCAGGAGGAGCAGATACTTCCAAGCAGAAGGGAGTGGAACACGTGCAAAGGCCCTGTGGCCGGGGTGCAGGGGGCTGAGAGTGGCCGGGGCGCAGGGGGCTGAGAGTGGCCGCTGTGGCTGGAGCAGAGAGCCGGTGAGGCCTGAGGGGTGAGCAGGAAGCAGCCATGGAGGGGGGGGGGGCGCAGTGTGCTGATGGGAGAAGACACCAGGCCAGACAGGACTGAGCCACGCAGCAGCTTGCAGGCTGCGTTACGGATCTGTGTCTTATTTTTAGAAGAGTGGGGTTCACAGAGAGGTAGGGTGACCCCATAAGCCAGGTTTAAGCAGAAGCCAGACCCCCCTGGAGCATTTAGAACAGAGGGGCTCGAGTGTGAAGAAATGTGGGTGCAGGGGCTGGGGATGTGGCTCAAGCGGTAGCGCGCTCGCCTAGCATGCGTGCGGCCCAGGTTCGATCCTCAGCAGCACCACATACCAACAAAGATGTT